CTTCCTGTAGTCAGCCGCTGATCAGTTTCAGCAGCGACTGAATCTGGAGCCAGTTCCGACTTACATACAAATTCAACTTAAGAACAAACCTATAGTCCCTATCTTGTACGTAACGCGGGGACTGCCTGTAGTCTCATCTGGACACAGCATGGTTCTTCACATCCAGTCCTAAAGTGTGCTGTGTTGTGCCTGTGTGCTATCCCCTGCACACAGACGGCTTAAAATTCTGTGCAATGGTCTAGGAGAATACCAATTAAATCAGTAAGCAACAATGACTGACATGGATTTTTACAACAGGCTTTCATTATTTCAGAAGCACTGACAGTCTAGCCTTATGGATACTAAGGAGTAAAATCAATTTTTTATGACTACATTCTGCTCCCAGATCCACATGACAGAACTCAAATCCAAACCTCCACTTTCCCCCCAGGCATGCGTCCGCCACAGATGTCAGGAGAGCTCTGTGATCATGGAGAGAGGAGACAGCTCTTGGGCCAGTCTGGCAGCACAAATTGCAAAATTTTTGGGGGAAGGGATGTGATGAATCCACTTTTTACTCACTTGATATAAACCGCTAGCTCTAAATAGGGAAAGTTCACATTTTTATTGCAGAAACCCAAGCCTGTGACTGAGCAGCACTGAATGCATTTCTCCCTAAAACCATGGTGGGTTTTTTTCAGATGGCACACAGTGGAATCTCCCATTTCTTGTGAAATCAATTCGTTATCATTTGATGAAGAAGTATGTGTGTTTGTTGTGCCAGATTGATGGTGTCCTCAGCTAGCCATTGCCTTGCTATTAGAAATTTGGTTTTGTAAACGGCGGGATAGGTAACTATATTGCTGTCGCTTAGTAGGTGGCTTGAGGCAAACTGGGCATGTCCTGTGTAGTGGAGTTCAAGAAGTAGCCCAGACAGCTGCATAAGCAGCAGCAAGTGCATCACAAAATGTCAGTTGGTGAATTGACTACACTACTGGCATTATTGTGCCAACCACTTCCCATTCACAGTGCCAGAGTGGAGGTCGATATCGGTAGTTAGTCTCATTTGAGCCAGAAGCAAAGGAAAATACTGCATCTAGGTGAAACCGAAGGATGAATGTAGGTTGCACTCTGTAATTACTTAAGCTGGAATTTCATCAAGACATTGTGATAACACTCCTTATCTTGTGCACTGTTAATTCTTTAACAGCCATGGTTTTCCTTCTGACCCAGAAGACAATACCTCTGTGCGTGTGATGCCTGTGAACAGCAGTAAGTTGAGACCCCTGGCCCCACACCCAGGAGCTGCTGCTAGAGGGGTGTGCCAGTCCTTTTGGGAGCCATGCTGCCCAAGGTAAGCACCACCTTCTGACCCCGTCTCACTCTCCAACCCTCTGTCCTAGCCCAGAGTCCACACCCCGCACCCAAGTTTCCTCCCAGAACCCACACCCCTCACCTCCTCTTATATCCCAAACTCCCACCCCAGCCCAGACCCTGCAGGGTAATGAACACCAGGTGTGCAAGAGTTGGGGAGGAAGTGAGTTACAAAGCCCAGGGCACTAAGGGGATGGCCTACTAGCTACTCCCTCTCTCATAGCAAAGATACTTCAATTCAGGTGTTTCTGCTTGGTGGAAATAGGGCTAAACAATGAGGTGGCAACATTTGCAGATGTTACTCAACTGCTCAAGATAGTTAAGACCAAAGCAGACTGTGAAGAGCTTCCAAAGGATCTCACAAAACTAGGAGAGTGGGCAACAAAATTGCAGATGCTTCAGAGGGGTAGCCAAGTTAGTCTGTAACTGGAAAAACTTGAAAACAATGACTAGTCTTGCAGCACAAAACATGTCGATGGTATCATGAACTTTCATGGGCACAGCCCACTTCTTCATATGAATAGAGTTATTAAAGGTCCAGTTTAAAAATAGATAGGTGATGGGGGGAGCTTTGCATGGGCAGCCCCGAGGCGTGGCCCCTGCTGGGAGGGTGGCGTGGGGCGGCCACGGCTGGTGAGGCTGAGCCTGGCGGCCTCTTCTTTGCCCCTTCCCCAGCCTGTGTGCCCCTGCCCATTATTCCCCCAGAGGCGTGGGTTCGAATCCCACCCCAGACAGGGCCCTTGGCGGCTCTGCTTCTTGGGGGGGAGGGTATGTCTGCACTAGCCCCCAGTTAGAACTAGGGAAGCTAATGTAGGCATTCAAAGTTGCAAATGAAGCCCAGGATTTAAATTCCCCGGGCTTTATTTGCATCTTCCTGTCCGGTCGCCATTTTGAAATTTCACTAGTCCGGACTAATTGCCCACAGCTACACGCGGCAGGGAGCCGGTAGTTCGAATTAAAGCCCTAATTTGAACTACCTGTTATTCCTCTTGCAAGGAGATTTAACGGTAGTTCAAATTAGAGGCTTTAATTTGACCTACCAGCTCCCTGCCGCATGTAGCCGCAGGCAGTTAGTCTGGACTAGTGACATTTCAAAATGGAGACTAGACGGGAAGATGCAAATAAAGCCCAGGATATTTAAATCCCAGGCTTCATTTGCAACTTCGAATGCCTACATTAGCCTCCCTAGTTCGAACTAAGGGGCTAGTGTAGACATACCCTAAGAGATTTAAATCAAAGCTATTTAAATCAATCCACCCTTCTTCAGAGGCTGTTTGGTCCATCCCTGAAGGAGAAAGCACATGGCTGCGCTCATGGAATAGGTCCTAGGCTGGAGGGTTTTGTTGTCTGGTGCCTGTCTTGTTCTGGACAGTTGAGCTAGGGAGTTGAAACAAAAGTTCTCTTAATCCCTTTGAACTGTTTCATTGTATAGTGAGGCTGATTCTTGTCCATAGACACCAAGAGTTGGACAGTTTATGTGTTGGGGTTGGAGTCTGAGTGATTATAAGGCGTCTAATAATAAAATCCTTTTGCAGAGTGAGGAGTGGGACTGGGACCCGAGCACTAAGTGATGTGAACAGCTGCATGCTTTGGAAGTCTTGAACTGGCTTGCTGTGGATGAACCTGCCCTCCCATTGTCCTTGAGTAGAGAAAAAAGGGGGAATCTCCCAATTTATGACAGAAAAAGAAGGGAAAGGGGGAGAAAAAAAGTACCTGTCAGTTGTAGTGCCAGTGCTAATGAGGCTAATTGAGTGGGCTGTAAGTGTCCCATACTTAGCTTTTGATGTCATTTGAGTGTTGAATACTAATACAATAAAATTAAAAAACCAACCTTTAACATTCAGCAATTGGGTAACAGAACAATAACTTATTTTTTGTGCAGCACTGGGGTCTACACTGTGGTTTCCTTTCCCCAGTTCCTGATCTAAGGACATATCTACACAGCAGCGTTATTTCAGAATAATGTCAGTTATTCCAAAATAATGTAGTGCGCGTCTACACAGCAAACCCGTTATTTCTAAATGACTTCGAAATAACAGGCTTCTTACTCCAACTTCTGTAAACCTCGTTGTATGAGGAGTAAGGGAAGTCAGATGAAGAGTACCCTATTTTGAAATAAGTGCTGTGTAGACAACGCAGTAATTAGTGTAGTTCAGGCTGTGTAGCCTATTTCAAGTTTAACCCTGCTGTGTAGACGTGCACTAAGACACATGACCTGTTTGGTGCATCTTGATATTGTGAAGAGCAGGACTTTAACAAGGTTAAAAAAAGAACTAGATGAATTCATGGAGGTTAGGTCCATTAATATTTATTAGCCAGGATGGGTAGGAATGGTTTGCCTAGCCTCTCTTCGTCAGGGGCTGGAAATGGATGACCGGAGAGGGATCACTTGATGATTCCCTGTTCTGTTCACTCCCTCTGAAGCATCTGGCATTGGCAACTGTTGCAGACAGGATACTGGGCTAGATGAGGGCAGGGGACTGGACTCAATGACCTCTCAAGGTCCCTTCCAGTCCTAGTATTCTATGATTCTATGGACCTTTGGTCGGGCCCAATGTGGCCACTCTTATGCTCTTATGCATTGTGTGATGGATCTTATTCAGAACCTGGGCAGCATGTCACACAAACCCAGTCTTCAAAATATGTCTGAATGACAGGCTCATCTGAGCCATGAAAATATTACAACAGCAGAGAATGTAATGGATGTTGAGTGTGTTCAGCACCTTGCAAGACTGGGTCCCTAGGTAATAAATACCCAGGATAAACCAATTCACCCAACTCCACTGACTGTTGGAGAGATGTGTTTGAAGTCAGTGAAGTTACACAAGAGAAGAATTGTGCCCTGCATGTTCAGTTGTGACTGGAGCTGGGCAGAAGGAGAACATTCGGAACTCTTGTCTCTTCACCGACAAGTCTGAAGGAATGCTTAACATAGTGAATGCTAGTGGGAAGGGGGTAGGTTTAGAAGACAAAATAAAAAAAGAACAAGTTAAAAATCACTTAGAAAAGTTAGATGCCTGCATGTCACCAGGGCTTAATGAAATGCATCCTAGAATACTCAAGGAGCTGATAGAGGAGGTATCTGAGCCTCTAGCTATCTATCATCTTTGGAAAATCATGGGAGACAGGAGAGATTCCAGAAGACTGGAAAAGGGCAAATATAGTGCCCATCTATAAAAAGGGAAATAAGAACAACCCAGGAAACTACAGATCAGTTAGTTTAACTTCTGTGCCAGGGAAGATAATGGAGCAAGTAATTAAGGGAATCATCTGCAAACACTTGGAAGGTGGTAAGGCGATAGGGAACAGCCAGCATGGATTTATAAAGAACAAATCATGTCAAAGCAATCTGATAGCTTTCTTTGATAGGATAATGAGTCTTGTGGATAAGGGAGAAGCAGTGGATGTGGTATACCTAGACTTTAGTAAGGCATTTGATACAGTCTCGCATGATATTCTTATCAATAAACTAGGCAAATACAACTTAGATGGGGCTCCTATAAGGTGGGTGCATAACTGGCTGGATAACCATACTCAGAGAGTAGTTATTAAGATATTTAAGAGTAGGTTAGATAGATGTCTATAAGGGATGGTCTAGACAGTACTGAGTCCTGCCATGAGGCTGGGGACTGGACTCGATGACCTCTCCTGACCCATTATAGGTTTGAAAACCTGCCCGTAAAAAAGCCCATCTTGCTGCCAAATTAGCACTAATCCAGGAGTGGCCAGACGAAAAGCCAAAATAGCAATGGATACAGTGCAAAGAGCCGAGGGAAAAAATTGTCAAGCACAAAAAAAAAGCCTTTTTAAAAGCAGAGCATTGCCCTTTGAAGGTGGCCATTTTGAAGTCTGCACTCCATAACTCCAGCTCTGTCTCTTTCAGATAGAACACGCTGCCCCTTTCAGAGCCATGGGTGCAGGTGTGGGAGTTGCAATTTTTTCTTTGCAGAGCCGCATGCAGCTCACGAGCTTTGGGTTGGCCACCACTGCACTAGTCTGACTCAGCTACCATAATGGAGTTGCTCTGTGTGTTGCAGGGGTAGATTTTCTTTGTAAAGACGACTCCCTATTTAATGCTATAACTGGAGCTCGTATTGTTCTGGGACTAATCAATCGCTGATCTGCGTATGGGACAGTCCAAGCTGATCGTCTGTAACATATTGGCATTTTCAGTAGTAGTAGAGGAATCCTCCAAGGACTCCTACCGCCACACCTGTGGTATGAGAGGAACATCCATCTGTGGAGAAAGGTATTGAACATGGCTTACATGGTGCTATACAGGACGACCCGCATTCCCCTTCTTCATTCCTTATGCATTTGAAAGACCAAGGACACTTTCATCAGGCTTTCTCCGTTCCTTTCCCAGCTCAGCCACTGGATTGGGCCAGGTCTACATTAGGCCCAGCAGCTCAACTTACGGCACACAGCTTACTGGCTTATTTTAAGCTGAGGTTGGTGGCATCCCCACAGTGGGGGGCCAATGGGAGCAAATGCTCCCATCGGCTTCCCTTACTCCTCATGAAAGGAGGAGTACCAGATGCTGGCAGGGGCACCCTCTGAGTTTGATTTAGTGAGTCTTAATTAGACACCCTAAATCAAACTCCAGAAGCTCAATCACAGCAGTAGCAATCTTCCTTTTAGTGTAGACAAGGCCTCAGTGTTTGACCTTGGGCAAGCCAGCCGGGCTCTCTGTGGTCTAGTCTGCATAGCTGTAAGATGGGGACAATGCTACAGTCCTACCTCATGGGAATACTGTGGGGCTACATTCATGTTTATAAACTCCTTTGAGCCACAGAGAGAAATCTGTATAAAAGTGCCAAGTATTAAGAGTGTGAAATGCTCCACAACTCTGTGTGAATGGCTTTAGTCAATGTGCCTACGTGCATTTGATAAATGGACAGGATTTCTGAACAGGATATGGCCAGTTACAGGAAAAGCTAGCAGCCAAGAGAAGGATTAATATCGACGTTTCTGGATGAGGAAAATAAAAGGCGTCATGTCTGGAGTCCTCAGTTATTAAGCACCCCCTACCTGTAGAATTAAAAACATGTTCAGTTTATAGATGCTACTGAAGATCCTTCTCACTAGCCTTTAGACTATCTTAAAAAAGCTGATTTGGACACAATGGATTGTGTTTACTCCACTATTTCTGATATTTTTATGTACAGATCCAGGATTCAAGAAGCTCTTCAGATACACTTTACTTGATACTTGTGTGACACAGATATTACTTTGCATACTCATTATTTGTCACCTACTACTCATATTGTGAGGATTGTCACCTAACTCCCCTATTTCTCCTCCCTAATGGAAGGGCTCCCCATCCAACCAAAAATTTGCAAGGTGTCCTGGTGTGGCTGCCTTATTCACATGAGGACTGGTGACATGTTTTGTGAATATTCTTGTGGAAAAAAACCGAAGTTGCTTCTGCCCAGTTTAAATCGCACTGAAGCATGTGGTTATGGGAATGTTTCCATTGGCTTTACCTGCAAAGACCTTCTCTCTTCTTTTAACTCTTCGCAATAGCCGCTCTTGGTTCTTTACCCTGGGTGGGTGTTCAAAAATCTCACCTGAGGAAGGGAAAGATTATTTGCATGAAAGATCTATGGACACAGGAGGATTATTGTTCTTCTCTGGTATCAAGCACATACAGGGTATGTCTACACAGCAAAGTTATTTCGAGATACCAAAGGTATCCCGAAATAGCTACCCTGTGTCTTTCGAATGCATCCACTATTTTGAAATATAGTGGAAGTGCTTTTTCACCATCCCTGTAAAACAGGGTCAGCTCAAGCCATTCCTGCGCCCCAGGCAGCAGGCGCATGACGTATGCGCCCCCCCCTCCCTGGTGCACTGCGCACCTTACAGCTGCAATCGGGCACACGGCGCCTGATGGCAGCTCTAAGGGGCGCTGCGCAACCCCCAGCCCCAGGCGCACAGCGCCTGATTGCAGCTCTAAGGGGCGCTGCGCAACCCCCAGCCCCAGGCGCACAGCGCCTGATTGCAGCTCTAAGGGGCGCTGCGCGGCCAGGTGCATGGCGCCCCTTACAGCTGCCATCAAGTGCCTCCCATAGGTTGGTGCCCTGGGCAGCTGCCTGGCTAGCCCCCCCCCTTATTTCGGCCCTGCCTGTAAACCTCATTCTACGAGATGTAAGGAATGGCTCGAAATAGCGCTTTATTTTGAAAGTTGTTGCTGTGTAGAAAGCGCCAGATGACTAAATAAGCTATTTTGAAATAGACTCGAAATAAGCTATGCAAAGTGTGTACCTTATTTCGAGTTTTGAGTGCTGTGTAGACACACCCACATTCTCCTTTCATTAACATTCCCCAAATCCTCAACTGGGCTTTGTAAGCCCTCTTATTTGAGATGCCTTCAGAACACAGGACTGGAGGAACAAATGCAGAAGGGCCCATTTCAAAGGATCCCTTTTGAAAGACCGGAGGAGGCCTCAGGCTGAATGCAAGATAGTTTGTTTGCATTGGCCTTGTGTATCATGGCGTGTTACATACAAATACCATCAGGATT